GGCCCCTGTATTCTTGTCAAACAGTGGAAAAAGGGGGTACGTCTACAGGTGAAACATCAGAACTATTGAAGAGTTTTTGTTTCCGATATATATATATATATATATGTACTGGTTGGTGGTGTCAACCCTCTGAAACATATGAGTTCGTCAGTTGGGAATATTATTCCCAATATATGGAAAGTCAAAAAAATCATGTTCCAAACCACCAACCAGCAAACTATTATCATCAACCATCATGATTGACCATTAACCATTGGTGTGGCTCTTATAGATGATTTTCCATTGTTCTCCCAGCTATAAACCACCAGTATATATATATATATATAATTATATATATATCATACATTATATCCTTCTTCTTGCGGGTGATATCATCTTTCTTTAGCAGAGTCTGGGTCCCAATCATCCCCGGTGTGCTGTTAACATTGACGACCCACATCCCCCGATATCATCAAGATGGAGACCATTAACGAATCCGAGAAAAAATGTAATTTAAATGTTAACATGGGGTATTTCCCGTAGTTTCAAGTAACAGCCAACATGATGTTACTATTCAAAATTTGAATGCTTGAACATAATCAATCGGAGAAGAAAAAACCGAAAAGTTCCCAATGTTTGGATGATTCCCCGAAACCTCAGCAACATTTATGATATTTTTATGGGTGGGCTGCAAGTCCGGATAACTTTTACATCATCACAACCCATTCACTTGGTCCTTACCATTAAAATTGGAAAAATCACCAATCAATTGGCACCATGCCCTGCCAATTTGACGATTAGTTCACTTCCTCTACTGTCCCATGAAAATAGTGCCTACCTTGTGTTCCCTAAGTCGGTACAAATAACTCCAAAAAATGTTTGGTTACTATGGTTACTTATTCATATAAAAAACATAGAACTCCAATATACTATGGTTATATAAGTTCAAATAACTCCAATATATTATCGCTAGTGATATATCTATAGTTACTATATCTGGTTGGGGGGTTCAACCCCTCTGAAACATATGAGTTCGTCAGTTGGGAATATTGTTCCCAATATATGGAAAGTCATAACATTCATGTTCCAAACCACCAACCAGCAAACTATTATCATCAACCATCATGATTGACCATTAACCATTGGTGTGGCTCTTATAGATGATTTTCCATTATTCTCCCAGCTATAAACCTCGAGTATATATATACATATATCATATATCATATACCCTCCAGTAAATTAACATAGACCCTGCCAGTCATCGGGGTTGAAAGATTAGTTTCCTCTGAAAATTGGTGATATTCCCTACCACCAACCAGTTATAGATGATTTTCCCAGCTATAATCAGATATATTGTTATTCCAATTATTAACCATTATTAACCATAGATTAACCATAGATTAACCAGGAACAAATGTTCCAAACCACCAACCAGTAACCCATGTACCATTACTATGGTCTATAGACCAACCATGCTCGGTGAACCAGACACCCTAAGCCTCGTCGTTCGTTCGAAAAAAAGCACCCTTTCAGCCGCCTGACTTCGGAGTGCACTACGCAGTGTGCCTCTCGGTCAAGTTACGACTGGGATGAATGGGGCATGGATAAAACCCATCCAATAACGAGAATGTTGATAACTGATATGATATGTATATATATATATATTATATCATAGATAAAACAATTATCATATATGTGTATATATCATATATCATATGTCATATTTACATCTTTTGTGACCATCCCCCAATCCGCGTTAATCAAACCACGACACAAAAAACATCGTGGTCATCAAATGGCTGGAAAATCTCGTGTCAATTTAAAAAAAAAAGGGAAAATCATCTACTCTCTGGTAAACGTTTACATAACTGTGGAAAATCACCATTTTAATGGGAAAATCCACTATTTCTATGGTCATTTTCAATAGCTTTTTGTATGTTTACCAGAGGGTACAAATGCCAGAGGCGTCGTTGTAGGATCACCATCCGATTTTGGGAGGAGTTTGAGGCAATCTTGGTGGGCTCTCAAAGATCATGTTCCTCTTGTCGCATTGCGTCCTTGAACCAAAACCGGAGATTTTTGGGGGTCGGATTTCCCAATAAAAATGGATGGTGAATGATGGTGATTTTTTTTTATCCCCAATATCTTGGATAGTACCCCATATCAGAATCAACCAACACGGAGGGCTTGCAGCCGTTGCTCATGTGTAGTTTCAATGCCCAGGAAACTCAACAACCAGCTGTAGTCGACCGCATTTCTCGCTGATCATCGCCAAACTGCCAGGAATCATTGTGCTTCGCAAGTTCGCAACAGTTCGCAACCATGCTTAGCTCACACAGTTCTACACGAGATATTCCCAGTGCTATCTATCTATATTAATATTGATGATAATCAACTAGATATATATATATATAGTATGTTAATACATCTAATCTTAAAAATAGATAGTTAATCCATATGTAATTATATAATAAATGATCTATTATAGATAGTACAGATGTTCCATGGGATGCACAACCCAGCCATGGGTCCCCACAATTGTGTTGCTGGACATCTCAATGTAATGTCAACCCTGGATTAATAAATCACTGGCCATTTCAGGAACCTAAATTGGAGGTACCTACCATATATAAGGCCTGTTTTTTAGGCCTATGTAAGGGAATATCCCTCCAAAATATGGCCTTATATGGTACAGTACCTCCATTTTAGGATCCTGGAATTCCCATTGAATAAACCCCTAGATTGTTTAATTGGGAGGGTACCATAAAAAGTATCAGATGAAATGACTATTGGAGAAGTACCCCCCTAATTGATAAACCATGGTTTATTAATCCGGGGTTGACATTAGACCATTCTATTCATTTACCAATCTTTAGGAAACCAAAAACCTAATGTGGGTAAAACAATGCCATAAACCACCCATGACTGCGAATGGTAAAACATACCACCTATAAAAATGCTGATGACTGGGGGATGGTTTATGATTGTTTTACCCACATTACAAAATATAATTCCTTCATTTATATTAAAACCAAAAGCCTTAGAAACCAATCTCTGGGCAACCTTAAAGGATTACAAAATATGATATTTCCTTTCCCCATTCATATTAACTACCTATATATGGGGGTTTCCTAAAATAGGGGAACCCCCAAATCATCCATTTTAATGGGATTTTCCATTATAAACCAACCATTTTTGGATACCCCCATGACTATGGAAAGCCCCATATATAAAGGGAACCACTGGCGCGGTCTTGGTCCTGGGGACTAAAGATGCGCAGTCCTAAAAGATGGTTTTCTGCATAGCACATAGAGTTAGAAAAGTTAGTCTATAGATTACTATAGATGTAATGATGTATCTATCATCATTTCTAGTTATTGTTGATTGCACCAACGTTGCTATCTTCGGGGGAACCACCTTGCATTATATACACTGTCCCACTGGCTATTTAACGTAGCAAACTGGAAGCTATGGCCCCTTTACTTCTCTGATTTCCATTGATTTACCGAACTCAAAGGCTCATATGATTTATAGATATTTATAGATCATTAACATTATTAAACATGAACTTATTATGTCTCATGATTTACAAGTTGTTCGACATTGATGATTTATGGTGCTTTGCCGATCAAAACTATGGAGTCACTGTCCGTCCAGTCAAACTGTGAAATCACAGGAGGATTCGGGAAGGATTTTCATGAACGTTACGAATGTTAGTTTGTCAATTATATATATAGTTATATAATGAGTTTCTTAGTTGATTACTTAGTTAGTTCCGTGGTTACATAGTTGCTTAGTTGTTTGACAACTTTGTTACTTGGTTACTTGCTTGCTTGCTTGCTTACTTACTTACTCACTTACTTACTTACATAGTTAGTTCGTTAGTCAGCTAGTGAGTGAGTTACTTCGTTAGTTACTTAGTTACTTAGTTGCTTGACTACTTTGATACTTTGTTACTCTGTTAGTTGCTTGCTTGCTTGCTTGCGTGCTTGCTTGCTTACTTACTTACTTAGTTTGCTACTTGGTTAGTTACTTACTTACTTGCTTAGGCAGTTACTTTGTTAGTCAGTTATAATTATAAGTTATAAACAATGACATACCCATGGATATTCCATTAAACCACTATCAAAAAACTCATAGTATATACAACCATTATCAACCATCAATAAGCTATTACTCATCATTGGGGATTCAATGGAGGTGGAACAGTGGAACATTATGCAGATTATTCAGATGATCTAGGATGACCATCTGCTCAGTCTCCCCACAAAATCAATGGAGGTGGACTATGATTCACATCTGGTTGGTGGTATACCTACCCCTCTGAAAAATATGAAAGTCAGTTGGGATTATTATTCCCAATACATGTGAATATATGAAAGTCATAAAAGCCATGTTCCAAACCACCAACCACACATATATTCACATGATCTAAACCTGCACCATCGAATCTCAGTCGAAATAGTCGATCGAGGACTTGCGACCACACCAAAGTTGCGTTTGGCACTTCCTACTGTGATGAAAACAATGCCATTTACACCCATGACTGGGAATGGTAAACATACCACCTATGAAAATGCTGATGACTGGGGGATGGTTTATGAAATTGTTTTACCCACATTACTGCAAGTTTCTAAGAAACCACTGCTAAAACTGACTTCCTCAATTGCAAACCACGCCAAAGTTACAGCAATTTTCTCGAACTGGAGAATCTTTGGATACGGAGACGATAAAAAAGAAACACATGAAACCCTGTCAATCAAAAATCCCCATGTTGCCCATGTTCGAGAAGTAGAGCATAAATCATTATGCGAACGGATCGAATGGGTTGTTGTTCATCATTCTTCATTGCCATGATTCAGTACAAAATCATGATTATCACCATTGGATTTTCATGGATTTTCTATGTTTATTGTTGCTTACCCTCTGGTAATTTAACATAGCTATTGAAAATGGCCATTTATAGTGAGTTTTCCCATTAAAAATGGTGATTTTCCATAGTTTTTTGTATGTTTACCAGAGGGTAAATCTCAATTCGAACGAACATCGACGGTTAGAAAATCACCGGTGAAATCTGAGAAATCTCAGAAACTTCGCACGGCTTCGCATGGCTAAAGATGGTCGCGCACGGCTTTGCCATGCTTCCCAGCATAGCCATTCACCGACGGACTCCGCCACGCTTTTTGTAGAGCCTCGTCGAGTTTCACGAGTTTCAGGAGAACTGATGGGTTACATCTACCATAAACCCTCGTTAACCTCAGTTACTATAAGATAAGTGATACAACTATCATATATATATAATATTGATACCAATTGTTATAGTGATTGGTAAGTTAGATGGGTGAAATCACCTTATTCCTGAGGGGCACCATCTTGTGGCTATCGAATTCGTTGAATTCGAATAAACATTGTGAATTTGTTAAGTAACATGTGTCCGAAATCTGGGTAAATTATCGTAATTCACTGACCTGAAAAACTTGCGGCCATAGGGACATAGTGACCTCAATCCTAACCATATCCTAACCATCATTCCAGTGAGGGAGAACAGGGTTCGGTCGTTATAAACCCAGATCTATATCCAGATATGGTTATAATATATGACTCTAACCACTATCCCATATTTCATCCCATATAATAGGGGATATACCCTCTGGTTAACATAGCTCTGGATGCCATGGCCCATGATGATTTACCAAACTGAAAATGGTGATGTTCCAGTTCGCAAACCGTTAAATAAACAGAGGGTAGATCATCTTACCCATTTATCACCATTAAACCCCATGAAACACCATTAACAATCCAAGATCTTTTCAATATGCCATAGTATCCCAATCCAAAAACTGTACCGGTAATCTTTGATGCTTATATTCATATTAAACACCATTAAATCCGATGAAATCCCATTAAACACCATGAAATCCCATGAAATCCCATTAAACACCATGAAATCCCATGAAATCCCATTAAACATCATTAAATCCACATGAAATTCCATTAAACATCATTAAATCCACATGAAATTCCATTAAACATCATTAAATCCCCATGAAATCCCCATGAATTTCCGCGTTTCAACTATCTTGCAACCAACTTTTCGGAGCCTCGTTGGGCTCATAGACTTCCACCCTCAGCGGATAGCACTTCGCCGTGTCATCCGAATGCCCGCAGGACGTGTCGCCACCGGGGCAGGCGCTCAACGCGCCCAGCAAGTCCACTTCGGCGAAGAACTCCAAGTAGTCGCCCGGACGCCTTGGTGAAGCAGAGAAACCCATGGGAATTTCAATGGGAATTTCAGGATCCTATAATGGAGGTACCTACCATATATAAGGCCCATGTAAGGGTACAGTACCGCCATTTTAGGATCCTGAAATTCCCATTGATTCGTGGGATTGAATGGGGATTGAATAGAATTTCATGGGGATTTCATGAAATTGAATTGGATTCAACGGAACTGAATATGATCTATATAAACGAGATGTATATTTTATATCATGGGGATTTCATGGGGATTTTTGAACCCCCAGAAGAAAGAAAAAAACAATCCAATCTTAAAATCGTAGACATTGTTTTCTACCGTTTTGGTGCTGCTAACGAAGACCTGAACAATGCATCGCAGCTGGGTGAATATCCCAGCTGCATCTGGATAGTAACCTATGAAGATAAGTGGGTTACTAAAACCCCAGTAAAACTGGACTATGGACCGTGTGAGATTAAGGCATATAAAAGTAGTACCCTCTGGTTATGACTAACATAGCCATGGTATAGATGGCCCATAGAAATAGATGATTCCCCAGCTCCCTCCATTTATGGTTGGGATTTCAAAGTTCGCTATGTTAGTCGTAACCAGATGGTATTGGATATTATTGATATTGGTGAAGATACACCCTGGTAGACTAAGATGGCTATTGAACATTGCCATTTAGTTCGTTGATTTACCCATAGAAAAAAGGGGATATAGCTCAAAAACCATCAAAAACCTGCCCTTTTTGATTGGATGTCCCATGGCTTTCATCAACGGGGTTTAAAACTTGCCAGTAAATTTTAGTGGCCCTGGAAATGACAGAACGATGGGTGCAAAAACACCAAACACGGACTATCTTTTTGATGGGGAAGGATTTTGATGATCCGTTTGTTGGGTAAATCAGTTATATCAGTTATATCCCCTATTATATGGGTAAATCAACGAACTAAATGGCAATGCTTCGCTACTTTACATCATTCAAAGTAGATGCAGACAGTTTCGCCATTTGGCCTTGCCAGCAACAAGTACATTAAAAAAATACATGTCTTTATATATTAACATAATTCACATGTGTACACTACACACAAATATAGTTATATATAGTTTGCATACGTGAAACTGTGACCGTTGATTTTTTAAGGTAGTACTGTTGAGCACTCTATAGCACCACTCAAGACAGCGCTCTTCTCTGTGCCAATCTGAATAAAGCTTGGTTCGGATGGATGGATGGATGGATGGATGGATGGATGGATGGATGGATGGATGGATGGATGGATGATGACGACGATGACGACGATGACGACGATGACGACGATGACGACGATGACGACGATGACGACGATGACGACGATGACGACGATGACGACGATGACGACGACGACGACGATGACGACGATGACGACGATGACGACGATGACGACGATGACGACGATGACGACGATGACGACGATGACGACGATGACGACGATGACGACGATGACGACGATGACGACGATGATGACGATGATGACGATGATGACGATGATGACGATGATGACGATGATGACGATGATGACGATGATGACGATGATGACGATGATGACGATGATGTATCTTACACATATGGCTTTGTTTGAAAATAGGGCGCCACCCCTAAATCATTCTAAATCCATTGGTCAATCAACAATATCCCCATTGAAATATGTATACACATATATATATACTGTATAAGAGTTTGGCAGCTTCAATCTCTCATTTTCGGACACACCGATATTATGGAGGTTTCCTAAAATGGTGGTACCCCCAAATCATCCGAGCCATTATAGACCATGACTCCATGACCCTTGTCTTTTTCAACCCATGGTGATGACTGGGGATCCCCCATGACTTACAAGGTGGTGCCCCCCCAAGTTATAAATGGGTTATAATCCCATTAACTATAGATATATCACCTATAAACCATAGTTATTGGACTTATAAACCAACTTAGCTAACTATGGGGCACCACCCTGTAAGAAACCCTTATTTTCTGAAAAATGTGGCTTCCCATATCTTCACCACGGCACACAGGGCTCGCTTTCATGAAGTACTGATGTGTGTCCTTGGTGAAGCCTGTACACATGAAGACATTCAGCACATCGTGGACGTGTTTCCTGGGGCCACGAAATTTTTCAGACAACGAAAAAACATCCCAGGGGTCCCAGTTAACTATTTCCTCCCGTAATATAACTAGAGGATATCGGAATATCATGGCTCATACAAATCGGTACCTTAAATATCTAGGGACCCTGTGACCCTGTAGAAAAGTGGCAGTTTTTTGTCTCAGTGCCACGTTGCAAGTTAAGAAACTGAACTGGGCTTAGCCGTGGGTTAGTAGATGCTGGACATCTGGGCTGACAGGTTTGGAGGTTACGCTAAACTGGAACTGCAGTAGATGGTTAAACCCGTCATCCTCCCAAAAAAAAACTCATGTGTTGACCATCGTCCAATTTCAAGGACGGACAAATGGACAATGAAAAACAGCTGCATGCTGAAACCACAAAATGGATGCAGATGTTCACGTCTTGAGCTGATTGGCTCTCACGTTTTTCCATATCTTCCATATCTGCAGATGGCTTTGAAATTACCCTCTGGTTATTTAACATAGCCATGGTATAGATGGCCTATTTATAGATGGTTTACCTATTAATAGCATGGTGATTTTCCATGGCAAACTGTTAGTCATAACCGGTAAAAGAAATGGTTGAAACAGAAAAAGGTACCAGAAATGGAACACGTTTGATGAAACATCTTTTTGCTGTTCCATCTACAGGTGTTTCTCATTTCTCTGTGCTAAAAATATCCAGTTGATATAACACTTGTCTTTTTACCCAAACAAGAAATGAAGATAGGAACCCAACCAAAAACAAACCCAGTCCCAAGCAAACCACAGACAAGTCAAACCAAGCAAAGCAAACCCAACCCATCCAATTGCTTGTGTTTTTTCACCAAATTTCTCCGCTTCAGAGACACCATGCTCTGCCAGCGCGCGAATCAAGTTGGAATGGCAGCAATGGTCGTAATCCTCACCTCCAAATTCCAAGGACTTTTCATTGGAAAAAAAAAAGGTGGGGGCCCATAGTTAGATGAGGGTGGAAAACCATGCTTAACCAACAAAAATTGCATTTATAGTTGATATAGCTGATTTATGTTGGCTAAGTTGGCTTTTAACTCCAATAACTCGGGTTGATTAGGGGGATATAACTACATATGAGCCATGGTCAATACTCACTATATGGTTGATGGTCATCCCATCCATAATAAGGATCCTTATAATGGTTATTATAAATCCCTATGAACCATTGGATGACTAGCCCCTATTAATGGTTATTAACCATGAGTATTGACCACAGCTCATATAGTAACTATACTTAAAGGGGATTATAAACCAAGTTACAACTGGGGAGGCATCACCCGGTAGGGGGAGATACCCTCGAAATAATGGGAATGTCATGGTGATATTCCATGGGAATATATTGTTTTTTGGGGAGATAACCTCCATAAATCGGAATGTGTTTTTTCGGAAAATCATGACAAGAGAATGGCTACATGCAATGAGAATTAATCGTAAGTCGTAGAAAATCATTGGACTGGTTGGTGGTTGAGCCACCCCCATGAGATGAATGTCAGTATAATCCCATTTCTGTGGGGGAAACGAACTGGCCACATTTCTGGCTGAAATATCAGAAGTCACTAACGTGAAAATAGCAGTTGTCATACGGCCAGCTATGGGGATGATTCCCTCTGCTAATAATCATTCCAGTGCGGTCACGACGTGAGGTCATTACAATTCATCCAGATATTGTAGCGATTTGAATAGCGATATTTGAAATCAAATGAAATTCCTAAAAACATGATTAACCATTATCAACCATGTTTAACCAGTATTAACCCTTAATAACCATCAGTAACATGTTTTAAAGCCAAACATATCATGGCTCCCTATCAGCTATGTCCAAACTAAGGATTCAGGCTCCGGAGACGTGAAAATGAGGTGATCCTGCCTTCATGTTTTGTGTTTCAGATGGATATTCCAAGTACATGGGATTATATATTTTAAGATGGATCTCAAAAAGAATATATCGACTCACGTACTTGAGATTATATGTCAGGTTGAGATGATATGTTTTTTTTGAGAGCCATCACTTTTCCAAGGGAAATGTCAGCTCGTGAAATTAGCACATGAAAATTTGGACTTTTTGGAGGTGTGTGAAGTGGCATTTTGTGGGATGTTGTGGGTTAAGCAAGGTCAATTTGGTCAAATCCCAATTTCTGTCGACCAATTTCGGACTTGAATCCCAAGTTTTACCGCTCAAAATCACCATGGGAACATCATCTTTCCATCAATGACCATTTCAGGAACCGATTGGAGGTATCTACCATATATAAGGAAAAATATCCCCACAATTCATATGGCCCCAAAATATGGTACGTTTACGTAGCTCCAATCTGTTGGGATCCTGGAGAATTCCCATTGATTCCATCCGGTTTTTCCCAACATATACCCTCTGGTTATTTAACATAGCCATGGTATAGATGGCCCATTTATAGACGGTTTACCTATTAATAGCATGGTGATTTTCCATGGCTATGCTAAATAACCAGAGGGTATATAAAGGCTAGTCTAACTATGTATAACTCCAGAACTGATCATCAATCTAATGAATCATCATGTATCAATGATATCCTCATAAATACCCATATGTGTGATGCTTCCCATAAAACTGATGCTCAAGATCTCCACTCACCAACCATTATAGTCAAATTATATAATCAATTTTCACATGGTCAATATGGTCAATCATCATTTATGAACTATCTACATAAGTCTACATATTATTGATAGTTAAACCCAACCCTACCCTACTCCCTATCAATGATGGTGAAAAACAGTTCTCCCTAGAGTTTCATTGGTTTAACTCCAATCAAAACTGGGTAAATTATCATATGTCACTAGCCTGGTTTCTCAGGTTTTTGAGGGAGAACTCCCCTTATAAAAACCATGATTCCAGGCTTCGGTCGTTATAATTTACCCTCTGGTAAACTAACATAACTATGGAAAATCCCATTTTTCATTGGAAAACTCACTATAAATGACTATTTTCAATAGCTATGTTAGTTATATGGATTATAAACCATTTAAATGGAAGATTACTCGTTGTTTATATCATATAATTACAGTAACTATATAACCGTTTAATTCTAACTAGAAATAGATAATTATATAACTATATAATTACAATAACTAATAACTGGAAGATTCTTAATATTATTCCATATATAACTAGGGCTATACTGGGCTATTTCATATGGCACATCCACACCCGCCGTGGCCGCCAGGACCGGGCGGCCACAGACCTTTCAGCAGGTGGTTGGAATAGGGGTCACAGCGGGTGCCGATGACATCGTGGACGCTGGCACCGTCCTGGCAGATACATGTAAATATATATATATATATGTATGTATATGTATGTATATGTATGTATATGTATGTATATGTATGTATATGTATGTGTATATGTATGTGTATATGTATGTGTATATGTATGTGTATATGTATGTGTATATGTATGTATGTATGTATGTATGTATGTATGTATGTATGTATGTATGTATGTATGTATGTATGTATGTATGTAGTATGTATGTATGTATGTATGTATGTATGTATGTATGTATGTATGTATGTATGTATGTATGTATGTATGTATGTATGTATGTATGTATGTATGTATGTATGTATGTATGTATGTATGTATGTATGTATGTATGTATGTGTGTATGTATGTATGTATGTATGTATGTATGTATGTATGGATGTATGGATGTATGGATGTATGGTATGTATGGTATGTATGTTATGTATGTTATGTATGTAATGTATGTAATGTATGTTATGTATGTAATGTATGTAATGTATGTAATGTATGTAATGTATGTAATGTATGTAATGTATGTAATGTATGTAATGTATGTAATGTATGTAATGTATGTATGTATGTAATGTAATATGTATGTATGTATGTAATGTATGTATGTATGTATGTATGTATGTATGTATGTATGTATGTATGTATGTATGTATGTATGTATGTATGTATGTATGTATGTATGTATGTATGTATATGTATTGTATATGTATGT